ATTAGCCTAGCAATACTATTTTTGCATCAAATAATTTTAGAAACTCATTCGATCGTTTAATGCGCTAACGTGCCAATTCAATATCCAACAGACTGGTTTTTTTTTTCTTTCGAAATATGAATGTAAGAATATTAGTCTTTGTATTTAAAAGTGAACAGTCACGCATTCCACATCGAATCGAAGTGACTAAAATCGAATACCCGCTGAGTTGAAGATTCATAGGTTTCCGTTCTTCACAGATATCCAATCTTGTTGTACCTTGTGAAATTCCTCTGATGAAAAACCCATTTTATACATACCAGGTCGAAATACTGATATATCTTCGCGGATTCTCGAGATTCAACCTTCACGAAGCGTATTTACTCAAATTTATTGAAATTTCGTTGAAATGTGGAACACGAATGTAAACGACAGTGAGTGACATTTACGTAAGAACCAAGTTGTCTGCTGAACGTTACCATGGCAAACCAGGTCCCTGCGAAAATATCACTTAGCACAGTATTTGCATGCGAATGCCACACTTCTTTCCATACAGGGGACGCGGGGAGAGACCTCTTTTCTTTGCTTTGCATTTTACGGTTTCCTCGCGGACGTGCTCCAGAACACGTACCACATGTTACTCAGGTACTCACGTTCGTATTTGTCGTCGTCCGGGATGTGTTCGACCTGCGGGCTAAGTCACGACTGGGCGATAGAGAGGCGCTCGGTGAGCTCGCTTCGTCGTGGCTCCCACCTTTTCTCCTTCGCGATGTTCCTCGAGATCGTCGAGGACGACGTAGGGGCCGTCTGCGATCCCTACCACTGTCGTGTGCCACCGTATACCCCTCCGTCCGGATCTTCTACGTACGGATCTGTGAAAACGTACACCGGCCACCGCCCGCGGATTATCTTTAGATCGCGGACGCGCGAATGACGGATGTGCGTGCGTGCCGAGTTCTCTGTTCCGATCACAGGGGAAAACCATTTGAGCTGTTGCGAAAAACGACATGGTGAAAAATCACGATCGGCAGTTGCGCCGGTGTCCGCGAAACTCAAAGGGCAAAGTCAAAGTCGCAACGAATTCCCGAAACGATGCTTACAAAGACTTACAAGGTGTTGGAACGTAGTCCAACACGTATCTTTTAATGGACACCGCAAAGTATCGTATTTTTCTGCTGGCCCCAAATATCTTTTGTAAATTCTATATATATAGTATTCTATGATAATTTTAAAATATCGATTTTTTAATGAGAAATGTATCACGCGTCGTGTGTTTTTAGTCTTTAAGTCTTTTGTTATATGTGTAAAAAAAAAAAAAAATAATCACTTAACTTTCTGTTAGTAAAATAGTGCAATTTAAAAAATAACAAATAACAATTAACAAAGCAGGATACGCAAATGTAAAACAAAACAAACAATTTTTGGATGAATTTTTTTTAATTCATTTTAAACACACCAATTTTATTAACATATATTTTGATTTATTCATTGCATTTAATCATCAATTTATAATACATAATAGATTATCTCATATGATTTCTTACTCTGATCTTAATCACCTACTTGAAGATCATCGCGGTCGCGAGTGACATTTAAAACGATCGATTTATTTGTCTATAAACGGAGTGAGAGTATAATAACGAGAGAAGGTTGACTTTCGAAAACGACACCTCTGTTTTCGATCGGAAAGCGCTAGGAACCGGCCACGCTGGTAATTTTGGCATTGGGATCAATTTATAGGTACCTCACCCGATCTCCTTGAGTCAACTCGTGTCATGGTCAAGCCGTTATGACTCGGATGGCACTCTCAGCTTTTTTTCTTTCCTTTAAAAACGCGTAACAATAATTTAAATTGATTAGAACCAATTGCTAATTCAATTCTCCTCAAAATCGAACGATATCAAATTGCATTTTTTTGCGTCTGCGACGAATGCAACTTTCTACAATAAGCATTTTTACGATACGTATTGCACAACGGAAAATTCGCAATAAAAATCGAATATATCCGCGTCTAATTTGCGCAAAATCGCCACGCATAGCGCGCTTTGCGTAAGATTGGCCGTTATATCTCATCAGTTACACAGTCATCGGTCCGATTCAGTACCATATAAGGAAAAAGTAGGTAAGGGTCCCCCGACAGCCTTGACTCATATACGGCCGGGTCTCTCGAAGCACTTGCTCGAGTATGCTTGCCCGTGTATTCTTTTTAAACACCGATCAAACGAAAAGATCGATAAATACGACGCGTGCAGGCATCTGCTTGTCGTGCTCGTCGAAGCAATCTAAAAACGACATACCAGAATATATTTTAAAATATAAACTATATTTTTAAACTTTATAAAAACATCTTTCAAAAATAGTGGTTTAAAAATAATTAGTACCATATAATATTTATTTTCTCTCAATTTCATCATTTATTAAGACAACTATTAAAGTAAAACATATACGATAATAAAATACAATTTTTTTAATATAATTGATATATCTACAAATCTCTCAATACAAAATATTTTTTTAAATAGTTTTTAAAATAAAAACAATGTATGGTATATCTTAATTTTATACAATATTTCTTAAAATAAAGAATCCCCCGCATTATCCTGAGAGTAATGCTTTTATTGTCCATTTACAGTTTATTACTGCATAAAAGATGAATATAGATCTAGATACGAGCGAAACTAGCGCATGCAGCTTGAGAAAGTACGCGTTTACGGCCCGTTACAAATTAGGAAAAACGCGATCATCGTCTCGCTTGGCAAAAGGAGTAATCTACTTATTTATCGAAATTATGATAATTACGGTTCTAATGGAAGAATTATTCTCGGATTAAAGCTGTGTTTATTTCCTAGATGCATCACTTAATATTTATATACGAAACTCGAAAAAAGTGGGTCTCGCAAAAATTAAGAAAATCTATCTATAACGAAATCGCGCGTTATATAATAACGCGCTACTTTTTGTGTGTCCGAAATATTCGGGGTGAAAGTTAAATTACTCCGTACAAATATATTTATATGTACTTCAACGACCGATTAACTCTGCGTTGTAAATTAACAGTCTCATTGACGTTTTATTCGTTCGACCAGTATGCAATATATTGTGTATACGTTGTGAAATAATACTTACCTTATGCAGAATATATTGCAGCCAGGTTGAAACTCTGTCCTAATTCTGCTTCATCGATGTGAACCTTTATAGGTAAGCTGAGTCATCTTAACCATCTCATTAGCTCCTGCTTTTTTGTACTTTGTTAATTTCTAGATAGCTTCTTCTTCGACATTTATGTAGGATCACTCTAATTAAAGTAATAATTATAATGACATTGTAATCCGAAATGATTTGAAATTCGTCGGCTTAATATGGAATATTTAATGATACAAATACTAATTACATTATTATCTTCTCGAATAGATAAATTTTAAAAGTGAGTTTGTGCTGGAGTGCATTATAATGTGAATTATATGACAAATTTTTTCGTGTTCATGCTTTTATTCTTATCTTGCTTTGGATACTCACCTTCTTTTCTGCAGTAATATTTTCACGTTACAATCTCAGAGCGATTCAAGACTAATCTATGATTGAAGCTGATATCCGTCGATAGATACGATAAATTGTGCAGCATTACATTATGTGACGAGGCAAATTTGGGACTCTTTCTGACGGGCAAATACAAAAAAAAAGAAAATCATTTCCGTTATAAATAAATAGAACGCAACAATAATTTATTCTTCGTTATCGTACATCAGTGGGCTGGAATAAACTATCCGCCTAACGAGGTATGAAGATATCGCGATAATATCGCAAGAAAAAAAAAAGAAAATGCAAGACACCATGCACGATCGCGCGCATATAGCGATTGTTCGATAACAAGCGTACTTGTGATAAAAGAATTATTTTGTCGAAAACTTAAACCTCTTTTGACTTTTAGTAGCTTGTAATGAAAAAAAAGGGATTAATATATCGACACATATCTTTTTTTTAAGATTATTTTACTTTTCGACGAAAAATCTTAATTTATTCACAAAATACGCTTGTTGCCGAGTATTCAGCAATCTATATTTGAATAGATGCGCTATTTTTTTTATATGTATACATATACATATATAAATATATCTATATTTTATACATACAAATAATATCATTCTGTAAATATGTACAGATGGAACATCGAGAGCGACACTTGAATATGGTTTCAAGCGCACCGAGTCCTCGCATAAATATCACGCATATCGCAAATTACATTTCAATTGTTACGTGAAATCGTAATGAGATTCTTTCTTGTATGATATCCATTATATAATAGAATTTTATTATTATTTTATATATTATTAACTTCACAATATGTATAATATGTATGGTTATTGGCCCCTCATTCTACATTCTACATTCGCATGTTGTGCTAATTGAATAATTAAATCATTAAAATAATAGTGTCTTTTTTCCAACAAGAATTGTGTATTTTTCTTGAATTTATATATGGAAAAAGAATGTAGAACGCTATAATTAATTAATATAATTTATTATTTAAAATAATACATGTTCTTCGTTATGTGCCAATTCTTTTACTCGTTTGCAATTTAATCATTTACCTTTAATTTACGATATTAATCACTCTGATATAATTATAATATTAGAGTAGTTTATGTTAAAATAAAAAGACTAAGGAAAGATAAGGGAAATTTATATCACATTATGAAAGATCAATAACCGTATTTCCTTTATCCTCCTCAATTATTGCATAATTATATTTATATCCTATTAAATTTTTTCTACGATTTAGACCTATTCCCAAATTATTTGTGGACTACGAGTGTCCTCTGCTACGCTGTTGCGTGTTGCGTCACATTCGCGCGGTCGCTTCTTGTTTTTCGAAAGAGAATTTGGTTTTAATACTGCGTGAACGAGAAATATACACGAAAAAATAATATTCACTTACAATGATGGAAAGAACGAAACTCGAACTGGAAATTGGGAACGTTGAAAGATTATCGAGATCGTAAAAGGAATGTTTCTCAAACTAATTTTTTTTTTTTTTTTTTACAGCAATTATATGTACACAGAATTCTTATTAATATTAACACTTCATTATCGTACACGACAATTTGCTAAATTGCGGGTGATTTAAGATCGAGAATGCTCAGATTTATACAAGAATGTACAAGAATTATGCAAGAATTTCGAGACAGCGTATTTACGCATATGGAATGATAATGCAATTATCGCGACGAATTCGATAGTTTCAATGGCAGAGATACGCACACAGAAACAGAAACTTGCGCCTGTTAGAACAATTAACTCGTGGCAATTGAGGCAAGTCTCATATTAAAATATCTATGCCAAGATCAATTGAGGTAATTGCTAGTTACCGCTAACACCTTCCACTGCAATTTATATCTCAGCACTTACGATCTCTGCTCATTCACGTTTCGCGGATGTATTTCCCGGAAGACATCCACTATGTATTAAACTTAAACACATTTAAACGCGCACGCTATCGAATGACAAATTATTTTCCGCAATCAGGACACACATACACTTTAATAAAATAATGTGTAAGTAAAACACCGCTGCTCGACCGTTTATACTCACAATTTTATAATTATTATATTATTTCGAAACTGTAAGGATAAAGAAAGAGATTTGAATGGAAGATCTTTAGAGAGTCTATATGCACAGACAGTACATATATGAAAGTGTGCAGTATCCGCAAATAGATTTGCGGAAGTGCCCGTTGCATGTACTTAATAGCCACGGAATAATATCTTAATTGATATACGAGGCAGTAACGGGTAGCAGAAAAAAATAAATAACTTAATCGTAATGCACTCGTTGCCGAAAGCAGCAGCGAAGCAATCGAGTTGAAAAACATATTTTGAAATTCTCCCTGACAAAAATCTGACAAAAGATGTATGAACAAGTGTAATTGTCTCAATTATTATTACGAAATTATATATGCGTGATATGTATCTGAAAGAAATATCTTCTAAAATATTTCTGAAAATTTTGAGATTCGTACTACATTAAATATTTATAATTTATAATATAATTGTTAACTTTGAGAACAATTATATTAAATTATAATAGTTTTAAATACATAAATAAGAATTTTCTTGCGGGGGAAGGGGAGATTTTACAGATAACAGATCTTTAAAAAAAGACACCCGAGAGGAAAATATTTTTTCTTCAGCAAATATAATTGTTATTATAATTCATAATTGCCCAAATTGAAACATGATTCCTTAATTTTAATTTTGTTTCTATCATTTTTAGTCATTTTGCAAAAATTCTAAATGAAATATAAAATCGAACTAATTTTTCTCTCGGTGTAAAAGGGATATATCGATAGCACTCTGTCAATTCCGAGCACACTTTACTTATTTGCTACGTGTTTAGACTTACAACAAACTTAATATTAATGCTTTTTTCATACATTAATTCCAGAGATTTCTATAAATGCACCAACTGCCCGTCAGGCCAGTCATATTTGTGTCCCGCAATCATTTTTCTCGCTCTCTTTTCGCTTTTTCTACAACTATCTCCGTTCACTTGTCTACAGATGAGTCTGAAAGGGAGCAAATAAAGAAACCAGGATAAGAAACTCGTTAAAATAAAGCAAAAATAAAGTGATCGAGGGTAAAGAGGGTTATATATATAAAGTACTACAGATAATAATCTTTTTAAGACGGTTGATTTAATGGTTTATAATGATAAAATGTTTCAACAGTTCAAAATTCAATGATTGAAATTTCGGTATACTTAGCAGAGAGCGTTATTTTTGAGATAATAATATTAAATCTCTCTTTGTAATAACAAAAAATATACGATTGTAGTAAAAGGAGAACGTCAATAAAGAATATAATAATTTGCGATGTATACGAGAATCAGTATTGTACATCGCTCGACGACGATAATAGCGATAATCATAAAAATAATTCTAATTACTTTATTTAAATAATATATATGTATATTTATATATTGCCAAACATTCTCATGATTAAATGACAATTCATTCGTGACATAATTGAAGGATCGCTTCGTTACTGAAATTAATTAACATTATTATACGGTAGTTTTTCGGACAGACAGGAATGGACTAGGTGTCATGAATTTGGCTAGCAATATATTTCTTCTAATAACACACTAACTTCGAAGATAGTAATTAATTAACAATTAAGAGAAAAAAGCGCTCGAATATTTCGTTTAAGCTAATGCATAAAGTATCAAGCTTTAAAATCGATACAACTAGTCCATCGGTGTCGATTGCCGTATACATATGATTTCTCCAACCCAGCTTCCCCATTCCCAATTCTTCAAATATATATATATATATATATTGTATATTTATAAATCCATCTAAATATCCAGGAATCATTTCAGTCGCAATGTTGTCAGATATTCGAAGACAAATAATACAAAAAAATAGTAGAAAATGCAAGAATTAAGAAAATATAGCTTTTATACACATATATGAGATAATGGTTATATTACAAAATAATATATTATTCGCGTTTTACAATAATACGTAAGTTGGTGATAAAGATCCACCGACTGTTTAGTATCGGAAATAATCTAAACCAATAGAAATATGAATTAAATCATTAAAAAATATATTCAATATCTCTTCATTAATCGTTAAATACTATCACAAATTAAATTCAAGCATACCCATAGACTTATCCTAATGTTAGTGATTTAGAAAAAAGTGATAGTACTTAATGATTAAAAATGTTACTAATATATTAATTAAATTTGCGAATTATATTGTTCGTCGAAGGATAAAATGTAATGCTCAAAAGAATTCATTCACTTTGAAATGACAGAATAAAACGAGCAAATGCCGAAATGGAAGAGACGCATGGATTAACAGATCATAATAAATATATGTCTTCGTTGAATCACTTGCCTTTTGTCGAATTCTTGGCACACTTGCACGATTAAATAACATCATAAATGTCTGCGACATAATTTTTCATTTGATTTTGATTCTCAGCGATTATCGTGTCCACACCGATAAAATAAATGCAGCGCGCATAGAATTATGCGAGTAATTACATACGTATGTCAACTATAAATTTTTTTATAAAGCCAAATACTTTTTGTTCATTATATCTTTGATAATAAATAAATAATTAATTAGATGAAGTGTGTTAATATTAAATAAATAGGTAAAATCGCGAGAATTCGTTAAGTACATTCATCTTTAATTTGTTTTTTGTTTCCAATCTTATTTTGTTGAGATTATGAATGTATTTCGATTGCATTATTGTTGTATCTACAAATGACATCTAAAGGACAATTATAATAAGAACAATTGTAGATTCCTCAATTAATACATTATAAGTCTCTCCAATATTATTTTATCTTTATATATCACACATTATTCAGAATATTATTAATTTAAATATCAAACAATATACATTTTGCGTTTTTGTCTTTTTATATACAATCAGCTTCATGATAAGATTATTAATAATTACTTTTACAACACATCGTATGCTTTGATATAATTCGATAACATTTCAGATCTGAGGTTACGCATGTGCTCGATTTTATGCGTATGTTATGATTTGATTATGTTATGATTTTATTGATTTCAAAATCTCACGGACGTCTATAAAAAAATAATTTATATTCATCCATGAACCATGCGTATGTCATGGTGCTCGACGTCGAACGTTTAATGCTCTTTGCATGTTCCTCATCACCGCAACGTGGTTCGAGTTACCGCGCTTCAGACTCGTCCTGATTTGACGATAAAACGAAAAGGATGTGCTTTGCTCCAATTGATGCTGTCCATCTTGGCTGGTTCGCCTCTGAATGATTCGAGTACAGAAAGATACGCTATATTTATTTTTATTTATTCGGGCACATGTTTCAATGCGTACATTTCAAATTTTTTCAAGAATTTTATTAAAAATGAAATATTTTCGATCCATTATTAAAAATTATATTTCTATTAAAATTATGTTTCAATTTTTCAACTATTTTAAAGATAAATAAAGAAATATGTATGTATGAAGAATTAAGAAACGAGCTATAACTTGCAAGTTATATATCATCTATAAAAATTAAAATTATCAAGTTGATCATGTATCATATCCTTAATGTATATATGAATGTAACAAGATCACATCGAAAGGTAAAAAAACATAGTTATATATACATATATGGCATTAATCAACGGTGATATATAATATCAATAATATATTTGACGGATAATTATGTAACAATAAAAGAGAGACTGCTAAATTTATAACTTGACAAAGCACATTGATTTGTTCGACGATATGATCGAAAAATTACAAAACAAATGTTATTTCACGAGTGGCATCAACGTCAGTTCTGTATAAGCACACACGAAACACACACAGAAACATCTGCGTATAACATGCCACTTGGCGCTTGCAAGCAGATTTATATTAATCGAGAAGGAACATGCACGATAATTTTGAGCACGACAATCGCTGAAAATTACATTAAAAAGAAACTTTCAAAACCGTAAACAATATTTCTTATCATTTTCACGAAAAAAGAAAATGATTGAATATTATGTTAGAAGAATCTCAATATTTTTTTAAGCAACGCAGCATCTTTCTCGCGCACGCATTCGATTTCACGATGATCTTCTAATTCTTTCTGAATTTTTCGCGCGAATTAATAAGAATTATTCTTGCGTCAATTCAGATTCCAAAATATTTAATTCCCAGGGATATGTTAAAAAAATATCACACTCTCAAAATTGCTAACGTTGTTAGTAGTATGTTTATAGGATCGGGATCCTAACAATTACGATGACAGTAATACCCATCAGAAGGATATTGAGTTAACAAAGCTACTGTGTGTATCATGAAGCTATCTCGGCAGTAAAATCTGCATCCACGGTAAAACTTTAATAATCGTCGTGGATTTTTCATCGACTTTGCCCGATAAAGCAAGTCGATCTAGTCCATAAAATATCATTTGTAACATTAATTATTACGCTTATTTATCGTTGTACATGTGGTCTTTGCTAAAAGATAACAAATCAAATTTCTCATGGAAAATCTCATTGGAATGCGTCAACAAAATTCGCTCAAATGCTTCATCAATTGATAAAATATACGATCCCGTATTTGTGAAAATACGCGACGGAATGTGCAAAATGAAAGATATGTTAATACAAGATATCGAGACGGAGCTTATTTCTCTTTAAAGCGGATTCCATTACCGAGATGCGGTGAGATTTTACCGCCAATCATATATGTTACATCGACTGTTCAGAAGCGTTTTATAATAATAATACGTATAATTGAACAACATTTTGGCCTTTCAAAACGTTCGCGATAACTCTCACGTACTATTATAGCAACGCGATTACACATCTGAATGTTCTGCTACTACGAAGTATTGTACGTACACGGCACTATAAATTTATCTTCCTTTCCTTGCCAATTGTCCTTACACATCGCGTCGTATTATTATATATAATACAGCACCGGCAAGGCAATATTTCCGAATGTATGACCTGATTCTGATGAGCGTCGGATAAAAATCGTGAGAAAGTTTCAAACAAGTCTGTATTTTATTGCAGATTTAATCTTTCATACGTCGCGAATTCGCTACACCTCTATAGACATTTTTGGAACATTGGAAATTTTCTCTATATTTAATTTCTCCTTCTCGTTTTTTCTCTCTTAGCAGAATATATCATGTGTCATCTAATTAAAATTATCATACAGAAATAAATTTGACGTTAAACGCTTTTGAGAAAAAAGACAAAGAAACATTATGCTATTTTACAAAATGTTAGATGTTGTTTTAAATTCTTCTATTAGGATCATAATATATCGTTGCAATTGCTACGATTGGAATATACAAATTCATTACAAAATTTTTCTATTCTTTATCAAAGATTCATGACAGGGTTTGTGTATATAAAAAATATTTGTTTCTCTCTCTCTCTCTCTCTCTCTCTTGTTTTTTCAAACTATTTTATATAAACGGTACTATCCAAAGCTCATCAGAATTCGGGAAAAACAACCCGAGACGATTCCTTTGCAAGTACACACGCACGTTGTATTTATAATATGTATACACGGTACACATTTTTCTGCGTGTGTGTATATATGTGTATATATAGATACATACAGAGATTGATAGAACGTGTGAGACACATATAGACACATGTACATAACACTAACTACATATCGCAATAAAAAGGAATCGCGCGGGCCTTCTGCTAGCCAAACACTATGCGCAAGCATATTTTATTTATTTACAATCGCTCCGTTTCTCGTCGTGCATCAATTCAATATTGGCAATGTTTATTGCATTGACCTCTCTCACGTGTTAGTGAAACTTACGATATCAATTCATCGACGGCGACGACTCGATTAGGAAAAAGACCCACGAATTATGTGCGGATAGTAGATACGCGTGAAAACGTCTCGAAGTGAATAAAATGCCATTTTTCGTAATTTTTGACTCCTTGGAATGTATAATCGCTTATTTTCTACTTCTTGATACATAATTTTCACATACGATTATTTCTTTCATTTATTTTATATGTCTTATCTAGATAGACCTTTTGGTACTTTTTTGTCGGATATTCTTCCGAATGTGATATTCATCGAATTGAGCATCGTCCTTGTAGGAACTTAAAAAGTAATCAAAAACAAACAGGAAAGCAGAATATATCATGTGTCATCATCTATAATATATGTATAATCTTACACTTTCGCTATTACATTGTAGTAACTTCTTCAATAGCTTCGGTTTTTATTCTTGTCAGTTTAATCTACTGATAGTTTTATCTTTTATGCATTAGAAAAAATTTCGCTTAAAGAAAAAAATTACATATATATACTAACAGTGACACAATGACAATAAATGTAAATAAGAAGAAATTCTTAGCGAAACTAAGAAGTAATCCAGAAGTGTACTGACAATAACGTAATAACAAGCAAATGTAAACAAAAAAAATATAAACACGCAAGTAGGATATGAAAAGATGATACAAAAATGCGAAAATTATGATATTTCAAAATCGCATATCTCTGGAACCAGAAGAGAGTGCCACAAAATTGAAAGCATGTATTACTTAAGAATATACTGTCTATAATATATGTATGGGATATTCTTTCGAATGTGACCCATCGAATTGAGCATCGTCCTTGTAGGAACTTAAAAAGTAATCAAAAACAGGAAAAAAATAATTTTGGCCACGGCAAATTACATGTTATTTTTTTTTTCATATGTTAAAATCTTACAAATTAACAAACACGCATACATTTATATAAGAGCAGCCCCTTCAAACATCAATGATCTTGACAAATGTTGTCAAGGTCATTGACCTGAGTATCCTCCAAAAGGTTCTAAGCGTTGCTCGTTTTTGAATACAAAGTTACTAACAAAAAAAGTTTATTAAATACAACTAATTAATAACAAATAATTTTCTGATATTAATACTAAAATTTCGATAATATTTCAAAAAGCTCACGTGTCAAATTACGTACAATCAAATGCGTGAGCGGAGGAGGGGCGGAACCCACTGCGTATTTTACAACGCGAAGCGAAGTCCACCCCACAATTGTTGTGTGGCTGGGAAAATGTATGTGTAAACGCAGTGAGTTCTGCCCCCCCCCCCACCCCCACCCGTACGGGGGACTCCACTTCAGGAAGATGTGACCTAACCCAAAACAGATTTTAGTTTTAAATCAGAAATAGGTTTGGTTAGGTTATATCTTTCAGAAGTGGAGCCCCCCCGTGCGGGGAGGAGAGGCGGAACCCACTGCGTCCCCTCATCCCGAGAAATATCTAATCCAACCTAACCCATGTCCCAGGATTGAATTATTACTATACTTATAATAATAAAAATCGAAAAAATACATTTGCCGTGGCTCAAACTTTGAGTTTGATCTCTTTTCAACCTCTACTTTATATATACAAAACCTCAATTTTTAAATCGATGGGTCACTTTCGGAAGAACAGCCTTTTTGTGTTCTTACTTTTCTATATTTCAAAATAAATTTCTAATTTTAAAAGTTTACAAAATACTTAATTCTTTTTTGGCATTGATAACTTTCCTTGATAAACAAAAGAGTAATATGAAGTAGACGTATATTAATTAAAGATTTATACGCCGATATAATAAAAATAATTGAAATTACACTATTCTCAGTCTTTTTCGAAAATCTATGGACAAGCGATGATTCTCGATAAAACTCTTCAAATTGGAAAGATGGCATTCCAATCACTTCCCAAGTCGATTCCAGCAATGTCAAAAGCGTTATCGAGTACTGTAGGCCGACGATTATCACGTTCTTGTTAAGTATATGTAACCACAATGATATTGACTCTCTTTTTATACCCAGAAAGATTTAAGATGCCCATATAAGGATATCGAAAGTATTCCCTCATCATAGCGGGAAGCACACTCGAGTGAGATAATCGCTTCTGTTTATGTATACAGATATACATGTCGATATCGGATTAATAATAGAAGTTGTGGATCGAGACGAATGTCTTTATATCGAAAATGCTCGTTAATGATTGAATTACGTTAAGTACAACAACGTTTCATAGCGAAGTATAAACGCGTCATTTAAATTAAATCATTCTTGAGATGTTAATCCAGAACAAATCGCATATTCGCCTCGATCCTCAATGAAACTATTCGTGCTACCCTTCGTTTTAACCCTCAAGTAGCCGTGCGATTAAGTATTTCTTAAGAATAAATGTACAAATTATCATGACGAATAATACGAGATACTTATAGCAACTCCTTAATACCTTAATATCTAAGGTATTAAGTAGAGAGCGCGTGTACATACAGGGTGATTCAGAAATACTTGTACAAACTTGTACAAACAAGAAAAAAATGTCATATACACATATGTTCGGTAATGCCTGATTTATAAGTTATAATCGAAAGATTACATTCAATTCAATACTATAGCTTGACCTAAATTCATTAGATTTTTACCTGTGTGGGGACACTTAAAAGTCTTAGTTTATGCAACTGAAATTGCAAATGAAGAGACGCTTCACCAACGCATCGTAGATGCCTGCGAAACCATTCGTAACCGTCATGGGATTTTTGAAAGAGTGCAACAGTCTATGATCCGACATGTCCATGCGTGCATTGAAGCAGGTGGAGGACATTTTGAGCATTTGTTGTGAATTATGAGTAGATAAACAATTGAACAATTGATGTATTACATTGTTCATGTGTCATTGTAGATATATTCTGTCAGTTTTTGTCGTTTTTGTAATCTTTCAATTATAACTCATAAATCAGGCATTATCGAACATGTGTATATATGACATTTTTTTCTTGTTTATGTGTGGAGAACTCACCTCCAAAGTTTGTACAAGTATTTCTGAATCACATTGTATATATATATATATAGAAGTAAGAATAACTGAAAAACAAGAAATCTTCTCGGCGAGAATAGAGAAAGGAAAACCAGTAGCAATAATAATGATGACAAAAGACAGGAATAAGAGAAGAATAATGAAGAGAGACAAGAATTTTAACATATAAAGCATAATCTCTTGCGGGGAGAATAGTACAAAGTACCAATACCAGTAGCGATGAAAATTAAATGAATTTACTATTATTAAATTAGCCTGAAAAGCAAATTACACTGGCCATAGCTAGCAACTTATTCCAACGCGATCAATCAAGGGTTAAACCGCGTACTCTTTGCTGTCTATAATCATTCTATGTCTCCTTCGCATATGCTCACTCGCGCATTCTCTCTTTCTCTCTCTCTCTCTCTCTCTTTCTCACTTTCACTCCAGAAGATTCGTCGCTACGACGGTGCAGATCACCCACAGCACGTTGCACACGAAGTGACGAAGATTAGTGGAGAAGGACGATAGTCGTGCATTCTCACTCGCGCTGCAGTATCTCCTGATTCAGGAAAATAGACAAAGCGTTCAGACAGTCTGACTCTCTTGCATGGAGCGTTCCAAAGCGGCCATTCGTTTCTGTCAGAATGAATTTCATGAGCTAAGAAAGATCTGTTTGAACAAGAGAATAGCTCATAATTATTTCTCTCTCTCTCTCTCTCTCCCTCAGAATTGATGAATATTTTCAAATTATTCTGGCTATCGATTAATTATAGATGATTATGAGAGTTATATTTTGTTTCCTTCCTGATTTATAAGCAATTCTACGATGCTTTCTTTCGTTAAGAATATATTATATCAGAACAATTATATTAGAATTGCAATGCCAAGTGCAATCAATTGCACGTTTTTAAATTGAACTAACACAATTTGAATCGATACCATTTCTTCGAGAAGCGAAGAACGATTCGTGTAACGTAAATCATGCTGACGTGTATACTTTGCGCGCATATTTTTGTGTTTCGTCAGTCGACGGTGCCTTGTGATAAAACGTTTGTTTACTTTTCAATAAAGTGCGTGTCGCAGCATAATGAAGAATACCATCGACGCGTTTGTCACGCAAACGGTTTCAGCGATGAACGTCTCGAGAATGTATCGACAGTGTCATCATTTTTCAAAAACGTGCTACTATTTAAATTTTATAATAATATTTGGCTTCTTTTGGGACGCTCCATGCGGATCGAGGATTAGTCGCTTCACAAATCCTCCTGGAAAATCCAGGACAGTTATTCGAAGGGACGTTAAACAGGCTTAAAGACACCGACAGCGCGATTACCGTTCGTTAGGTTTTTGTCACCGTCCATCTTCTTTCGGTTACGATAATCCCTGTGGTCACACTCGACAAGAACACGTTTGAATAATTCGATCAATCGGCCACTGACGATAGCGAACTTACCATCTCATATAAATCGTCTGTTTGCGGAAATATACAGCGGCGGCAACGAATCAAATCATGATAATATTACTACGACTACGCTTATACAAAGCATTCATTTTGTCTATAGCAATAAAAATATAAATTAAATAAGCGGTATTTTTTTTATAAATAACAAGTTATGCTCCAATTAATATAATAATGACGGTTACATCGATAAAGCAATAAAATTATTGAAATAACAAAGATACGAAAAGAATGGCAATTATTACAAAATAAATATTTTTTATTTCAAGAGTTGATTTTGTAATTTTATGTAGTTCATTTTATCAATGTATATCAAATGCACGTAATTTTTTATAACGATATTAACATGATTCTCTGTTGCTTAAGCTGTATCTTCTGTGTCCGATCGGTCGATAAAATAAATAAGGACTCACCATTTCGGTCGTGAGACTTGCTAATGCCTCTTCCACGGTGGCCGCGATCCTTCCACTGTCATCCTGACGCTGATTACCCTTGATCGGCGTCGTTGGACAACCTAAAATTATCCTTAATTGTCATCGTGCAAAAGATAATATTGGACCTTTTAGAGATTGTCCGTAACGAAAGACATAAAAATATTCCGAGCGATAATGTGATTTCCAAACTAATTCTATATTTGGAAAAAGGCGAAAAAATGATGGCAACTGCGAGATTAAGAAATCTTGAGATATTTTTTTATCGCAGCGAAGAAATGTTACATGAGAACATACATTATATATACACGTAGCATCTGTATAAAAATGTTTTATTCAAATAGTTTTATGTAAATTGGTTTTTTAGGGCTTCTGTACTTTTCTCAAGGTTTCGCAATCTTCGAATCGAATCACGAAACGTGGAGAATATCGTGCATTCTATAAATTGTGTTAATTAGTTATAAGAAAAAGCATGTGAATTAATTGCTTGCGTGAATCAATAGTGAAAGAAGATATAGATAAAAGAAAGATCGAAACTTATCTCGTAGCCCAGCGATCCGAAGCAATCGTCGAAGCTCGGAAAACATATACGGATAAAAATAGAAAAATAAAATCAGTGTATAGACAGGATTTGATGAAGAGTGACGAGAAAGTAAAGTTTCGTATTTCTTTTTTTCATATTTTCTTTTTTATTATCTCTTTCTCTCATTTGTTGTAAAGTTATCTTGGGCATCTCAACAAGGCTTCCTTTGACTTAGTTATAGGTAAGGCTAGATAGAAAAATATTGAGTTACGAAGAATAGAGTTGTTATCGTTCTTTCTACTTAACCGATGTCACTTTTATCAATATAATCGATAATTAGCACGCAAAGTGACTGTCAAAAAATTGTAATTGTGAAAAATGCACGTAATCGCTTTCATAGCAATCACTTCTGTGTCATAAATAGTAATACCCACACACATATATTATATTATTCATGTAAAATCAAACGAGATGGAAATGATTTTTTCTCGAAATATAATATACCATATTTAAACAGTAATTAATTATATGCACTAAGTTTTTGCTTTTTGATTATCGCATTCCATATGGTTTATATGTGTATATAATTTCGATATTTGATTTGGATACATCATATCGCTGTGATTTCAAAAAATCATCGCTTTTGAAAAATAGTGTAACAGTGAATAAAATATTGTAACAATAATAAAATATAATAATAATGAATAAAAATCGTAGTAAAAATTAATAAAAATATGTAGAATAAATCGGCAGAACTGATTTCAATTTATGTAATATATTATTCTGATCTTTGATATATATGTATTAATTAACACATATCTTATATTTTTTCTGTTTACTTCGCTGTTAAACAAAGATCCTGTTACTCCAATGAAAAAAAAAATTTTCTTCGACACTAAAAAAAGTCTTTTGCTAATTTGGCACTGGAATGTGATAACTGTTTGCGTTATGACACATGAATTTGTAAAGTTAATGATGGTAATGTATACGCTGTACACATTTCATAGCGTAATTAAAAAATAATGTTAATATTCTGAGGGATTAAAACTTCTCATGACAGTGTTTGTTGAATATATTCAATATATTCGTATTTAATAGTTCTGTTATATTGATATTCTGTATAATTGTTATATTAATGTTATATAAAGAAATCCATCATCAATATGATCGTCAATGTTATTGTATCATACAATCAATATCAATCAAACATAGAAAAATTCTATAAAAAGAAAACTTTAAATGTACAAAATCGGCAGAATGAAATATATATATTCTGAAAAAAATCGAATACTCCTCGCAAGAAGTCAACATATAAAAAAAAATCTATCAACAATCGAAAAGCAGACTGAGAATCAGCTCGCAAATTTCCTTGTCAGAGGCTTCGAGTAGGCAGAAGAGGGGAGGAAGCTAGCGGCAGAAGAAGACGTAGCTGTGGTCCTCGTGGCAGTACTCTTCAGGAGCCATAGTAGATGTTGAGCGCGTACAGCAACTTACCTATGTCGCCGCTGCTGGAGCTCTCGGTGAAGGATGGTGTCCCCTCGGTCCATGTTGGCGTCGAGCCTTCGGCGCTTCCGGCCGGTGGGGTCCACGTGAGACAGCCGCCACCGCGACTGCTACCCCCGCTCTCGACGCTCAGCGATGATTTGGTTTCCCTGCCGCCGCTGCCGCTACCGCTACCGCTGCTCTCCAAATGCACGTCCGATATGCTATTGGGATAAATTTGTTCAAGATTTAATACCTAGTAACCGAGGAACGAGTATAATAATGTGTGTGATTAAATTAAAATCAAATAATACTAACATTTTCCTTTTCCTGAAGTTGCAGTGATAAAGCAAAAGAAAATCTTTGTTTAGATGCGTGCAAAGTGCAAAGATAAGCGTAAAATATATGTATATGTATATCTCATAATCAGTAATATCAGTAATATATCATTAATATCAAAAAAAAAGTTCAAGACAAAGTATAAAGACGATACATATGTATTTTATCAATTACACATCTGATCATCAATCAGTAACACCTATTCTTAAAAGTTGCTATTTTCACATTATGACTACTAAAGATTCTGCGATTATCATTCAATTTTATTGTAATTCACATAAGTGTTATATACACATAAAATATAACACTTAATTTTTTTTTCTTGATTTCATGGTTGGATTACTGGTTGAAGATGAAGGTAGTTTGAAATTAGCAACGTTTAGCGTCACAAAAGATAGTACTCACCTCACAGTGTCGTGATACGTCTTGGTGAGCGTAACATGATGAACAACCTTATTTTGCTTGGAATGAGCTGAGCTCAGGCTGCTCGTGAGGATGGTTGCGCCGCCTTGTTGAAGATGACCACCGGAAGCCAGAGTTTGGTCGTTCGAGCGGACTGCGTCGTCAAAGGGCGGGGGCGGGGTGGAACAGGTGGAAGGAAGGGTGCCACCTACAAGAAGCGTACTACAATTAGCTCTAATTGACACGCGCCTATCATTTCGAATAAAATAGTAGCAAGGGTGGAATGGCGCGGCAGAATAGGTTGGATAAGGAATTCGTTTAGCGCAGAATCACACTCACATGTATGCTATTACCGAAGATACATGTTTGGCGTAAAAAATACGGTTTACTTCGAATAGCGGTTTTGAAAGAAACATATTTCTTATCGCAGTTTCTTGAGATACTGATGTATCTTTTTGCATTTGCGAAAAAAGTTGAAAAATTTAGAAACACTTTGTATGATACGATATTTACCATCGTATCAATTTTCGTATCTGTTAACAATTTGATCATCATGATAAGAAAATTGTTACGCCGTTGAAATATAGAGTAATTGAAAAATCATCAATTTTTACTGTACATTTGTAAAGATTTAAAAGTTGAATTGACAGGAGAAATTGAATCATTTTATACATCGATCTAAGGTGATTCAATCGTTCCAGTTTAAAATAGTAATGATATCTGCTCTAAAAATCTACGCGAGAACTTAACCCTTCTGCCTATCTACGCATATAATATACGGTTGATGAAGCTTAGGATAAAAACAACTATAAATATTTGCAAGAAGAAAAATAGCTATACAAAGTTTGTAAGCAATTTTATACGCAATAAAGAAATTATTCAGAGCAAAAAATTACATTTTCAACACTTTTAGAGACAACAAGCAAGCTAGCAAATTATTAATTTCGTAAATCGAATTTTATATCACAACAAAATTGTATTATTTATTACACAACTTTGCGACAGTTACGTGAGATTATTGCATTCTTAAAAATGCTGAAAATGTACAAAAATTTCTAATAATAAAGATGCAATCAAAATATAAAACATCCATTTTCGAAATTAGAAGAAACAATCTCAAACTTTCATTAAATAATACTATTTACGTGTGTCTCTACGTATCCAGCCATGTGTGTATACTATGCAAGTGCAATAGCAAACAAATTATTTAGCTAGGGTAAGTAGGACAGATCGAGTTTTACATGATGCGCCTCTGATACGTTATCACGAATGTACTCATATGAACATCCTCTTACGCATTGATATACATAGACATGTATCACATGTATCATCGAGATAAAGAATTGAGAAATTATTAATGCACAATTTATACAAAAGGTAAATCCTTCGAAATTCTTCGAGTCGATATACATAGTACAACTACAAGTAAATAAACACAATTAGTTAAATAAATAAATGCTGAACCACACAAAAACTAGAAATGATAAAAATGATAAAAAAAGATATATTATTATGAGAATGTAACAATGTAAGCAAAATTTCATTTTGTGTATAACACATTGCGTTTATTCACTTATTGATGGTCATGAAAAATTCTACGCATGCAATTTCTAATTTTAAAAAATTACTACAAACGTTGATCAATCATAGTTACGCAATGATAGTTTTGCACTATGGACAGAGAATGATTTAGACTGTATATAAACGATACCTCGTCGATGTCTTAAGATCGACTGACATTGAAATGTAGCAGACGTGAAAAAGAGATGAGGAAAATTGTCTTTTAGTCAACGCAGGTTATTTTCCTCTCGATGTCTATTAATATAAGTAATGTAATAAAACAATTATTAATAAACACAACTCATAATTTTCTTCGACAACCATTGACAACTATCAAAATATTGTTATCACAATTTAATATGTGAGATCGAATGATGATATGCAGGAAATAATAATACTTGCGTTATCATGCTGCAGTGATAGTAAGGGAAAAATATTTTATGTCTGATAAGCGTCCAATGGAGGAAGATGGAAGCTATTGTTTTTCCTTATAAGGCTACAATTCTTCCGTATAAAGTTGCAAGTTCCAAACAAATCTGATATATTATCGTTTATCGCGGATCGTTATCAACTTGATATTATCAAATTTTTTTTAAATCATCTGTCATCATGCCTTTTTTAAGATGTAGCCTTCTTTTTATTTACATTGCCAAGAGTTTCATAATACTCTAAAATTAATAGCCAGGAAATAGATTTTTATGTGAACGATCGTGTCTTTCGATAAGTATGTAGAAAGGAGATATTCGGTCTTAACATTCCAAATTCTTGGGAGTTAAATGACAGATCGTTGCCACTCGAAAGCGACTTAAATCTTTCGTGTTTAGTATTTAGTATTTCCGCTTTCAACTCAATTTTTTCTTCTTCCTGATTTAATCGGGTTTTACTAGTTGGCAGTGTAAATTTTTGCTTGATGGTGTTGACTCCATCTTCCTTTAAATTATACAAATATAGTTCTTCTTGCTGAACATTTCTCGTTTTGCCTTTCGCTATGATATTTTCGAAACTTTTTACTTTCTCAGAAACGGAAGACTTCCTGACGTTGCTATTTCTATTTCTAATGTTGTCGAGATTGGAAGATATAAGCATCTCGCTCTTGGTTACGCTCTGCAATTCATCTCGATTCATATTTTTTGGATTATTCTTCCTAACATCTTTGTATGAAAATCGTTTTCCACGAAATAAAGAATTTTCATCATAATTTTTATTCGAACTGAGTGCTAGTTCAAATTTTGAAGAACCCTCGTATTTTCTTAATCTCTCATTAGTTTGTCGATCAAAGTTACCAATTCGTTCACCGACTATCTTCTCCTTGTTTTCATTTTCAATGCGATTTCCTTTCGGGAGGATTCCTTTAAATCCATTTCTTTTACTTCCTTGTTCGTCGTTTATAGTTTTAGAGATATTCTTGTCATCAAGATAATGATTGTTTTTACTAGAAGAACAATCTTTCATCTCAGAAGATGTATCGCATCCGATTGCTGATTGTCTTCTTTTGCCTTTAAAATTTCTGGCATTCTTATCACTTTTCTCCTGAGCCTGACAATGATCGTTTTTATTCGCCTGAAAATCGATTTTTGAAAACAATTTTTTATCCTCTTTTTTTTCCTTTGTTTTCTTTTCGTCCAAACTTCTATTAAAAGTTGCTGAGATTTGTTTCTTCGGTTTCGGTGCGAGTCGTTTCTTTCTTCTAGATTTCTCTCGAATCTTTTGCAGCAATATGCTATCCTTTTTAGCGAATCTTGAGAGTTTTTGCTTAACCGATTCTTCAATAGACTTATTCTTCGCATAAAATGATGCATCTATAGCTTTCGTATCTTCCATTGACTTATGACTGTACGACATCGTCGTGATAGTCGTGACAGAGGTCTCGAGATTCTTCTGCTTCCTCTTCATCCTCTCGTAATATGTCTCGGAGTACTTCTTGTCTTTTCGCGACATCTTGTAATTCATCAAATCGCTTCGAGAATTTGGATTGAGAAAGTACGTAAACTTCGCTAGATGATCCGTCTTGGTGCTATCCCTCCTTTTTCTATCTTTCCTTAAAACTGTACGATTTCCAGCTCCGTCGAATTCTTTCCATCGGTCGGATCGGTAAATCCCTCTATCTGGCCTGAAAGGATGCGGACTGGTCTTGATAAAGTAAACATCATCAACTTTCTCCACGCTGACAAACTCCTCGTCCAGGTCCTGGATATACCAATCTATCGGCCGACCATTGCTTCTGGTCTCTCGGCCGGAATTGCCGCGGTGCATGACGCGATACGTGTCGAGTGTCGATGTATGGGCATGCAACGCGTTCGCGGTTTTAGTAGAAGTAGCAGCGGTGATAGTAGAGGTCACAGTCTTAGCGGTGGTAGCAGAAGTAGAGGAATGGTCGGGTGGGAGCGGGCGGTGCAGGTCGCACGAACTGTCATGCAAGCGGTATCTCGTGATTATGGCTGCTTCATCACCTCGGCTGGAAGTCACCGATGACGTCGTCGAGGCGGCGCCGCCAGCCGTCCGGTACTCCTCGGAGGACCTGCCGGTCCTCGAGGGGCCCGTGCCCCGCGGTGGTACCGGCGGCGGAACCTTGCCGGACGGCACCAGGTTCGGATTCGGCGGACTTGCCGCGCTTCTACCCTTCAGCACGGCTGGGTAAGTCGTGACCTTGACCGTGGGAGCGGCCCCAGGCGGATGCTCGTGCGGATGCGGGACCTGACCGGCGGCTAAGGTCAACGGTGGCGGACTCAGCGGACCGGCGGCGGGATTAACTGGGGTCGAGGTGGCGATCGGCACCGAACCACTCGTGACCGCCGCGTTCGTCGCGCTGATCGCAGAGTCGGGCAGGCTAACTGCTACTCGGGGTCGTTCGAGGTCGTTCGTGGCCGTCCGAGGGAGTTCAACGGTCGAGGGAGTCGCGGTGTGCAGCATCGTGATGGCGCGGGATGGGAATATATATAGAGAGAGGCAGGCAAACAGAGAAAAACAGAGAAGCCGGATGAGAGAAGTCGAATGATCCGGAGAATCGTGCAACGTTGATTCTTTTCTGATCGAGCTCTTTACGAGAATATTTATAGTGCAATTTGGTAAATACATATTATAATTTACTATAATATATGGACATATATATATATTCGTAATTAAAAGGGAAAAGTACATGACCAAGTGCAATATGTGAAGTATATTTTTGCTACAATCATTATATATATAATAATGCATAATTATATAAAACACATACCATCCTATAATTTTTTCAAATTTACGTTGCACAGTTCACTCGAAAAATTACTCATTTGCGATAAATGATATATGATTGACAATTTGTTGTTATAGTACAGAGCTGGTTAGTAAAAGAATTATTTAATTATTTAATTTATTAAAACTTTAACTATAGTTTCAGATTCATCGTAACATAGCAAAAAAAATTTATACATGCTCCTTAAGATTAAAAATTTATCACAGTCTTCTGTTTTTACTTTTTGAATAAAACACACGCGTCATGTTCTTTGAGCGTCTGTTCCGAAAGATAACAGGATACATTTTCGCGATATCGCGCGATGCAATTTTGAAAATAGTTTCGCATAGCAATGTACAATTATACATTAAAGTAAATGAGACTCACCGGCCTTCGTAGGTGATGTAGCATGCATTGCCGAACCTCCAGTTGCCGCCACCGCTAAACCACCATATAACACCATGTACCATTACCGTACTTGTCATGTGACCGGCTCTTAATTGGACAGAGAAACTCACCACGGATTTCGAGGGTGTCCAAACGCGAAAGCCATTCAATGCCAAAAGCGCGTTCCAAGCACGAGATCTCGTTTTCGGTATCACAAAATCTCTTTACCGTAGGGTTCGAAATCGTTATAATGTCAGAAAGAGAGAGAGAGAGAGAGAGAGAGAGTATTATTGATGCTGCAGATGCGCAAAAGTATTAATCTCTTTTCCAGGATAAATATTGAAATTATTTTCGCGTATCTGTAGCATCGAAATCACGATTCCATCGTTGATAATATGATAATAATTCAAACCCTGCTTTATTGTAAAGTTTGGCGTTTGCTGCGTTCTCTCAAGCGTTTTTTCATTCGCAGCGTAGGCGAAGCACGATAAAAGCGTACCCTGCCGAAATCGCGCGGTTGCAGTTTCTCTGTCATCTCGTTGACCAAAGGAGTCTCGAGGCAGAACCAGGATTCGAGCAAAGGACGTTTGTGTAACAGGGAGAAATTAAACATTTTACTGACATTCACGATATAAAGCTGCATAGGACGATTGCATTGGTGAAGGGATTAATTACGGGGATACGAGGATAGATAAAATGACGAGGTACGAAGTGCAGAAACTCGTGAATTAGTGAAATTATTTTGCTAGGTGAAATATAATTTTTTTGCCAGGTGAAATATATAATTTTAATAAAATATAAATTGTAATTGGATATATATATTGATTGTATAATATGAATTGTAATTGTATAATATATATAATTCTGTATTTACTATTTACATTAATTTTACCATCGTTCATTGTTGACTATAACTTGAGTGCTGAGATATACGTATAGATCTATGTATATCTTATCGATGGTAAAATTATTTAAACTTTCTCCGGCTACTAATGTAAGAAATGAAAATATTTTTGTTACAAAACGTGCATCTTTATACTATGTATTAAAATTTACTAAATAATTAGAGCATTAGAAATTTTAGATGTACATACGTTTTGTATTCGAATAATGGGATATCCGTAAGAAGACAACTTAATGAGAGAATGAGGGATGATGGAGTAGATAGGATTAGACGGGACTTCATCTAGAATTCTCGACGTCTTCACATATCGGTACTGTCGTGAATGCTTTAGAAGCGGGTAACGTGGGAATGTCGCAACTAAGTTTATTGCACTGATCGCTGTGCCTGGCTATAGTGAAATCCAGCGCAAAGCCAATAATAGAATCGTGAAGAAACGTTTTATCGAAGGCCTTCGGCACGATTTTCGGAATTCAGATTTCTAACTTTTAAATTGCGCTGCTAATATATTTTTTGCCGTATTGTTGGTGAGAGAATCAGACATTTTTCAAATATAATTAATCCTTTAATCGCGTGATTCGCTATCATGTTGTTAACGGCGTTTTGGAGTTGTTAAATATTATAGAATAATATTTAGAAACATAGAAATAATCATATGCGATCCGTTATTAATGACGTTCCGAAAACCGAAATCTCTCTCTCGCGTGATATCATAAACAAGCGCAAAGAACTTTGGAATAACAGAATATTGGAAAATAGTTTAAATTGAAACATGTCTAACTCACCGGTCGAGTCGAAATCACCCTCCAGCGGCCTCAGTGGTCTGCTTATACTTTTTCTCTTCGACGGGGAATGCTTCAAGGCTGTAACATAAAATATGAGATGCCATAATTTCTTGTACAAAGCTGCGTGTAAACTGGCACATCAAGTTATTTTTGAAAACTGCTTTAAAATTTGCACGTGTTAAGTATATCTATTAAAAGGACACAAACGTATTATGCTACAAAAGCTGACATCAGTACCGTAGCAAGGATCGAAGTATATGTTAACCTCGTTTCATTAGCACTGTTTCAATTTACAGAATGGACCTAATTGTTAGTAGATCATCCTATTAATTATTTAATTTTAACATAATAATTGTATATAGCAAATGCTTTTTTGATCTTTTTCACTAAAGAAAATAATTTACTATATACAAGTCCTAAAAATATTTATAAAAATTCTCTTCTTTTTTGCAGACTTGAGATATTGCAGTCTCTCTTAAATATGCATATTTTAAATAAGCGTTTATTACATTATAGCCAATTTTCTATTTAGTCGTTAATTCTAATAAAGAAATCAACTTGTGTTACAATAGTTTCTTTCATCTATAATCTTCTATTCCTAGATAGTATATCTAAATTTTTTCTCCAAATAAAACGTAAGTCTCGCTACAGCACTACTTGCCATGATTATATTGTATATAAATGTTGTTCTTTCTTCGAGCTACAATTACTATTCTACTGTTAACGAACGCTATCATATATGTGTGAATGCTCTTATATTTTAATTAATTATACTAATCGTAAATATAGAATAATTTCTAACATATATTATACGTATAAATATGTGTGAAGATATAATCAAGCACATCTATGGACCTCGCTTTCGAGCGAGAGCTATTTTTACAATTGTCACCTGTATACTACGTCTTAATCCACATGCCTAAGTAATTAATCACATAAAAAAGTATGTACGTACATGAGATTTGTGCTGGAGTTTGTAGAAATATATTTTATGCATATGTAATAAATAAATATTTCGTTATATAAACGTTTATCTATCAATCTATCATCTGTGCCGTGAAGTATAGGGTATGCCTAGGCTAAACTAATTGCTGCTTGATATCGAATGTGACAGGAAAGATTCGGAATTGTAAATGAGTTGTAGATATATGTAAAGAAACTTAGTGAACATGTCCTAAACAGACGTGAACACATAAATCTTTTTAATTTTTTTTTGCAAGATGCTATATCAAAATATAGTGCAGTAGGTAAACGCTGAAGAGTTCATTATCCATGATTAGTAGTAAATATCGTCCCTTGGGTATTAGAAAGAATGATCTAGACTTATAAAAAGATTCGATTCTTGGACTGTGTGTTGCGAAATGTGTGTCGAAAAGTAGGGAACAGTAAAGTGTGAAGAGTGATAAATAAAGTACACGTATCAGGCGTACAATTCTCACAGGCATCGGTTGCAGAAGCGACAGAAATAGAAACAAGAGTGGCACACTTACACATACACACAAAAATATTAGAAAAATTTATTCGCATATATAATTCCGCTGTGCTGAAATTCGTTTAAAAAGTTCTTATTTAATAAAAATATTCAGGTTTAAGAAAAAATCGTATGTACAAACATGTTAGTGAACCAAACATAAAATATTATGCTCAACTATAATCTATGTAAATATAATCTAGTCGTTTCAATCTTATAATTAAGCACAAATACAAAAAAAAAAAAACAAAAAGTAAAAATAGATATATTATATTCTGGTATATATATTTAACAGTGTATCTTCGAGTTGCGCATGCAAAGAATTTTCGCACGTCATTTACGTACAAATTCTTTTAAAGTCAAATTGAATCAATTATATTATATCCAAATGTTAAATTCTTTCAACAAAATCTTGATAGACATTTTATAGTCTAGTTTTTTTTTTTCAGCGAATGCAAAATTGCATCAAATAGGATTAAGAGGCAAGATAAATCAGCTATAGAGTCACGGAACAGAGTAAGAAAAAATGGATCATTCGTAAAAAGATGCATACAGGCAGGAAAATTATATGAAAACAAACGTACATACATTCGTACAAAAATGGACAGTTGGACGCACACATAGACAGAGTTACCTATATAGCTGGTGACGAGGTTACGGAATTTGCGGTGATTCCCCTTAATCTCAGGCAGGTCCACTTTTGGTATTCGATTTTCGAGTTTCGATCAGTAGCAGGTCAGATCAGGTCATTGGGGGTTGACACGAAAAGAAGTGCACGGGACACAGAAACATCAACATTTAGCTAACTCCGTATATAATATGATTATATATACCGGATTATTGAATAAATGATAAAATTATTAGGGACTGCCGAGAATAGATAGAAACATTAAAGAAAGTCAGGGTACACCTAGTTTCCAAACGTATCAATTTGAAGTACAAAGCAACTTTAAGCTCTTTCTTCTCTTCCCTGTACGGACAGGCAATCATTGTAGATTTTGTCGCAAACTATTATCTCAGCAGATTTTTAATTGAACTCAGTTGCATTCAAAGATTTATGCGACACAAGTTGATGCTGCTTCAACGTTGCATTTAACATGATAAATTGTAACAGAACCAAAAAACAAAAGAATTACATAATTTTTCCTCGAGCGTTTTTGGGCTGTCAATTGTAATCTGTTTCTATTCGCATGAGATAAAATATAAGTGATGGATGATTAACAAAACGCAAACGTACGTAACACAAACAACAAACACATATCGCACGATACAATATTAAGACAATATACAAAGTGTAACGCGCTGATGGTGCAAAAAACTTAAAGTGAATAACGACTACGAGGGAATGTATGTCGTAGTAAGTGGAATAATGTCAATAATGATGATAGTACATGGGACCAGAGCGGTATTAGTAATAATAGCAATAGTAGTAATAATAATGGTAGTGACAGTATTAGTAGTAATAGTAATAGTAGTAGTAGTAGTAGAGTAGTAGTAGTAGTAGTACGGCAATAGGTTATAAGTTGTGTACGGGTGGGCTTATAAATGAAATGAAGTTGTAAACAGCGAAAATGTTTATTGCAAAATATATAAATATGTACAATGGTGCCCACGTTCAGTCGATAGCTGAATATTTTCGCAATTAAAAAAAAATATCTACTTCTACCGATTATTCTCGCTCTCACACTCTCGCACTCTCTTTCTCGAATTAATTGTACACCCACGCGGTCCTAACATTTGCTATTATTTCAAAAAATATATACGCGCGCGTTCAACATTATTATATTTCGCAGAGATTCTTTTATAAATATATAGATCGCACAAAATTGATTAGCGTCTCTCTACCTCTCCATAAAAGACCTCTAAAGAGAGCCTTTATAAAGAGAACTATATATATTTGGCATTTTTCTTTTGATTTTTTTTTAAAGTTAATTCATTAAATAATTAATTTAATAATTATTTGTTTTTTAAATTGTTGACCAAGCTAATTGAATGCGCAAACGTATTTCGTGCGTTCTATTATACTATTCTTTTTACAAGTATGCTCTGATGAACGAAAAGATCAATGATAGCTTTGGCCCATCGATAAAACAGGAACTTTTGTCATTAAGATTTATTCTTGTATATTAAAGAAGGAACTTTCATAAACATTTGGCACATGATAGTATTAATCAAAAAAAAGATAAAAATTAGATTGCGATTATTCGTCTCACTAACAAGTGCACATATAATAAATTATGTTATGGACTAGATCCAGACGAAGTTATTGGCAAAGAAAAGGATTTTTAAATATCAGCTTTCTTTTTTTTTGCTTATCCAACTCTTAATGAAAATCTTGTTAAAACAATCGATCTTTTCAAACATGGCTCGCAGTCTAATATATAAGTAAAAATATACCGATGGAAGTCACAAGATAGATTAACAATATCAATATATATATGTATATATGTGAAAAATACTCAGCTATATCTGTGGACACCAATGATCGGTAAGTTTTTTTGTTTCTTTTTAATAAATATATCAAAATAAAATTGTGCATCAAAGGAAAATATGATATCATATGCACAATGAGGTAAAACTTGCAAAAAAAAAAAAAAAAAAAGTTATCAAAAAAAGGAAAAAAATTATATATAACAAAATATACATACATGTGTATTGTGTTAGCAATTAGTTACACCAAAACAAAACCCAAAAATGATCAATTGACACTCGTTAAACCCAAAATATATCTTATTCATAGCATTGATTCTAAATGAATGCAGATATCCGAAAAATTCTCTTCTGGATCGGATTGTATGCCATTGATAAATATCGCATTCGTTGAATAGATAAAGTGCGTCATCTCTTACTTTACAACAGTTCTGATTTGCACGATACTTCGTTAATCTACGCAAGGCACTGGGCAGATCAATAAAATTTAAATATAACCATGATATTGATGCAAAACGCGTCTAGATAATTTTCGGATATCCGCATAGTATTTGTCGCATTCTCTGCAGTCACTCAAATATTTTATAACGCTGTTATAATCATTAAAATATTTCTTTCTGGACGGCTAAATCTGTCTGTGATTGATAAAATCTGTACAGCCAAAATTGAGTCGCTGACACCTGCGCTTTTAACACTCTTAAAATATAAATAATCAGATAAAGAGTTATTAAAACCAGAATCGCTTATGTTAACCCTGATAATAATTACGACTAAGATATTCGTGGAAGCCTAATATTTTGTTAGATTCTCCTCTGCTATTCCGACAGTAACGCGAGTTTATTACGCGCCAGCCAAAAGAATTGTAAAATTATATAAGCGAATTAAATGGGCGATTTTTTAGCGAATTGTAATGAGAAGAAAAATATATGTCTCTAGCTTACGGCTTACTGCTCTATGAAAATTGGATTATGCTCTTCTTAAGTAACAATATAAGTATCTTACTATTTATATAATGATAACATACTATGTGTATATATTCTAAGTACCAGTTTTGAGCTTCACTTATAATAAACTATCTTTGTTCTATTCCCTCCCCCCCCCCACCCCCGTTTCTCTTGCATTAAATGTTTAAAATATGTCCCAAAAGCATCAATAAAAGGTACAATTTGATAGCATTGCGATATAGTAGAATCACAATACTGATACCATTAATATTATTCTTTTTTTGCTTTATACTTTCAATAAGAAAAGTCGATTATCAGTTATACAACTTGTATATAACGTATAATATAACGCGATAAGTTAACATGATCAGAAGACAATGGCTACCGGTAAATAGGTAAATAAGCGTGAATTTGCTCACATATTAGTGAGTTTTGCTGAGTGTAATCTTGTAGTCAAACTTGTTAGGACAGGCTGATTCGGATGGTACTTACGTGATGGTATTTTCTTAAATACTGTCTTGGCCATGAAATCCTGAAAGCGTTGCGCATAAAATCCTGGTCGATGAACCGACACTGTATCCTGAGAAAGCGAGAAACGTTCTTTCTATATCAATATCAGTAAGATGTTGAAATAAATAAAAGAAAGGTGAATTGTGAGAGAAAATTAGATTATAAGAGAGAAATTTATATGTTAATACACGCATATGTACGCGCGCACGCATATTACACACATGTGACTTACCCCATCATGTATCATCGATTTCCACGTATGTTCTAATTTCTTTTTCAATCTGTAGCTTTGCAAAATATCGATAATACCAAGGAATAACAAAAGACGTTCACCGCGCGCGTTCCTGGCAGGAATTTTATTACAATCAACTAGCATATCTCGATATATTCATAAAATTGTACAAATATGATATTTACGGTACGTCATCTTCTTCATCTATCGGTTCGCTCTCAGCTTGGATACTTTCCATTGCCGTGCTATGAGCAACCAATCTTTGACGATTTATACTGCGTGATCGGTTCAAAGCGGCAGCGCCTATTCTATCTTCTCTATCTTTTTCCTTCTCAGATTGAATAAATCCATCAGTTTCACCCACTTCACCAACTTCTTCATCAGCGCTTGCCGATAATCTTTGCTCTTGCTATAATATAAACGTAATATGTATAGATAAATATATATTGCGTGATATGTTTATATGATATGAAAAAAATCATATAATATTTACAGTTTTTTCCTTTGCAGCCTGGTCAAGATTATGGATTCCAACAAGTAAAGAATAATCCATAATTTTGAAACTTTCTAATACACGACAATCCCGTTGAATAGTTTTTACTAACGCACCGTATGTATCGGCCTCTAAAAAGATGCCTTCTGGATGATGCTCCATAAAATCTAGATCTTTATATGTCGGTGAAGACTTTGAACGTTCTGATTTCGATGCCTACAATTTAAAACAATATATGTATATAATATCACACAAACACACACACACATATATATATATATTACAATATTCACACATAAATATATTATTGTAGTATTACAAACCTTTCTCTTGTATGTAGATCCTTTCAAATCATATTTCTGATGCAACTTTACAAACGAAGGTAAAAGATTATTCATAGCCACTAATCTAACATTCTTGCTATTACACCGATAGCAATACAACCCAAAAAACTTTGGCAATAGTGTTCTCGGATTCTGATTTAGATTCTACAAGAAGCAGCAGTGGTTATTAAAAAAATTTTTGCATTAAAAATATATTCTAATTATATTGTAATTTAAAAAATTCGTTCTCTTTTGGAACGTACCATATAATATCCTGGAAGAAGAGTTTGTAAAAATTCTCCTTCCTTATGCTGCACAGTCTTTATGATAAATTCATCATCATCCGTTAGATAAAAGATACTCCCACTAGCGCCAGGATTTGATAATTCGCGTAATGGAGCACTACACATTGACATCTAAATGTATATATTTTGTTGTTAGTATACAACTTGCAAACACTTCATTATATTTTATTACATCGCAGAGAATGACTTATCTCACCAAAAAGTCATCCGGTTGTATGCCAAAAAGATCTCTAAAATAACGAAATGCAATGGGTGCATAATTTTTAAATTTAAACTCCGAGAAATGATGGGCTGGAGTATGATTTGATCCTTCACTGGGAAAATTCGTTGTCTCCACCGTCATAAAGTCCTGCATTAACAGATCGCGTTCCGGTTTACTTGCAAGACCACCAACAGCATGCTGTATACCCAACTGAATAGATCCCATAATTTGTGTGGTTTGAATCTATATAATATAAATAAAACGTATTTAAAATTAACGATATTTATATTACACAACTATTATTATTCTTAAGTCCATAAAACTATCATATTTGCAATATAGTAGTGACTATAACACAGTAATATCTCAAACTATTTAATGAAGAAGGTATGATCTCTCATGTAATAAACTGTCTTCTTTGATTAAGTTATTAAATATGCATACGGATAATAAGCACTCTCTCATCAATAGCTAGATAAAGTAGCATATTTCTCTTTTTTGTAAGCATGATGTTTATCAACATCAAAAAATTCGCTCGTACTATTCGGGATAATAGCGCAGAGTAGTATAAGCTTGTTAATTCTTTCGCTTAATGATACCCTTTAATTTTGATTATAAAGCGGAAAATTTAATCTACAGAAACCATCTATTAAAAGTATGCTACACTGGTACATTTTTTACTTACCTTTTTATATGTGATTTCACCACCCACTCCAACTCTTCGATGCCCAATCTTTCTCTCTCGTTCTGATTTGTTTCTCGACACCCCCGCGGGGGTCTTGCCGCCAGTGATACCATGTTGTACCACGTGTAAACTCTGCAAAGATCAGTGACAGTATATTAGCACATTCTTGCTAACACTGAACGTGTATTCAAGGAAAACTATTATTATCGGTTACATTGTTATCAATGACATTCCTGCTAACACT